ACCTTAGCAATGCGTTGCATGCGCTGAGGGCCACGGGTTTGAATCCCGCACGAAACAAGTACTTGTATGTCCTACAAATAGTTGTTTCTGGTCTGGATTTTTGTTCTTGTGAAATTTGTGTATGTAAACTGCCACTATACATTAGAAATTCTAGTGGTACCTCTACGTTCTAATAAAAAAATATTATCATATAATTGTCAAAGCTCACAATACGACAGCAAATACCTATATTAAATGATGTGGAACCAAAAAGCAATTCAAAATTATCTCAGTAGTCATTACACATAATTACATTTACCACCATCATTCATGAGTCAAGATATTATTTCATTCGTACTAACAAAAATTAGCGAAACTCCACAGCTGAATATAGGCCTCCGCTATAAATTGCCTCAAAGGGAGGATTTTGCCATAGCTGCCACGCTTATCAGGCGGGTTGATAACCGCAGGTGTTTTTTTTTTAATTATTTTGAGTTGTTATTAGGATGATGCTACTGACCATCTTCGTCTCCTGTCACGACACCCACGGGACGATAACGATATAGAATCTACTTCCACCTACAAGTCGCGGCACGTAAGTCTAGCGTTGAACGAAACGTGGATAGCTGCGCATGTCGTATCAGTGTTCCAATAGCCGTAGACGTACGCGAGTAGCAGTAGCCAATCAGCGCGTGCGAGCGATACGCACATCCTACTAGCGATACGCACGCCCGCCCCGCGCCCCGCTTACTACCCCATGATACATTATTTTGGACTTATGCACAATAACGGTCACGGCTAGACTTTCGTGCCACTCTTTATACCCATGTTTCGTAATTTTGAATGCTGTTTCTCAGGGCTAAATAGGTCTTTAAGCAACTAATTTTTACTGTAAAATCATAATACGTTCTCTATTTATGGCAAATAAAGGAATTCTAATTTGATAAGGGGTAGTGGATTTTCTTACATCGTCACTACACGGTTAGGTTACATCAGCTCAGTACACAAACCTTTGAATAAAATGTAAAAGCTTATTTAAAACAATTATGAAGAAGTGAAGTCGATACTGAGAGCAGACTCTACACTGCGTCAGCACCGACACTAAGTGGTGCTAAGTGCAAATAAATATAAATAATAAAAATTAAGTACCTACTAAGTGCACACTGTGCCAAGACATAGTTTATCGAAGAAATAATGCCCTAATTTCAGATAGCCATGTTACATATGTGGATATTGTTATTATTTTAGTTGTTTTTTTAATTGTTAAGGGTATTAAGAGGATACCTTAAAAATGAATCGTAGTTTTGGGGGCGTGGCTTATTCTTTTGTCGGTGCGCACGGACGGCTGAAGGAATGTCAAAACGATAATGATAAAATAACATCATAATACGCAAATTATGAGATAGCTATACCGAGCTCGGGGGAGACCTATGTTCAGCAGTGGATTTGTAAGGGCTGTAATGATGATGATATACCGAGCTCATGCTGGTATATCATCATCATCACAAAAATTAAGCAAGCGCCAAACAACATTTTTTTAACAAAACTTTATTATGGATTAAAAATAAATGGTTATGATTATTTACTATGCCTTAAAACTCATTCCATGAACTTATTCGTAAAAATATATTGTAGTGTCGTGGTATTACTAATTAGAGCCTACTTTGCAATTTTTTTCTATCGAGAAAATTACATGATATCGTGTTTTCCTTTTATGAAATTCAAGGTCATGTAGTCAAAAATCATATACCAAAAATTTGGATCGTAAGCTGTAAAACTTAAACAAAAAGCTTTAAAAAAACTACCAAATTTTCGAGGTTATCACCTAAAAATTTTCACAATTTTGAGCGCTCTAAAGAATCACAAGTTCAAATTAATGTCGTCTAAATAGTTACATCAAATCTTCACCCCTGTTTTTTCACCCTTAGGAATGGAGTTAATCTTCAAACTTATTTAATATCAATTTTGAAATATAGTTAAGTAATACTTAATCATTTAAATCAGTTCAGTCATTTCCGAGAAATAGGTAAACATATAGAATATAATATAGAACCTAGTCGGTTCTTAGAATCGGTTGATTGTCCGTATGGCCGTATCTGACTATCTGCAAGAAGCCATCCCGCATACTCAACGTATGAGCATACAGAGCCTTGACGCAAAACCATGTACAGTAAAACGCATTGAATATTAATCATCGAACTACATTACTAGCGTATAGAACAGACACCCTGAACCAAAAGTTTCCTTCATTTTGATAAAAGTTAGAACTAAAGTTCGCTGCAGCGCTAAAATAATAGTTACCGTCGTCTAACCAAACTATTAAAATATGTAGCGCTAGTTTGCATTAGGGATTAGTTTTCTCGCAACCAAAACGGCATAAGCGCCAGGAATTTCATGGCGCTTACGCGTGTCGTTTAACGTAGTGTACAACAAGTCGCTCCCATAGATTTTACATTTTGCCCGATTCTCGTGAGCATTGTAACAAAGCGAAAAACTTTAAATCAAAGAGTTTTAAACGTTTTAATGTCTACTTACCGACAAAATGTTAAACCATCTCTTTTTTATGTTCTGGAGTGTTTACTGGAGTCTTTAAGAACACAACCAGACATTTTGATATTGTTATTTATGCGAAGCGAACACGACTCGTCCGTCATTGTCGGGCATTGGATACTCACAAAACAGTTGCGGTACAGTGTACCGCAAAGCGTGGCGCAAAGCCATGCAAGGCGTTGTCTTCTCTATCATCATCATCATCATTACAACCCTTCACAAGTCCACTGCTGAACATAGGCCTCCCTCAAGTAATGGCACTAAGCACGGTCCTGAGCCACCTGTATCCATCGACTTCCTGCATGTCTTACCAGGTCGTTACTCCATCTACGACCTGGTAAGACACGCAGGAAGTCGATGTCGATTGTCTTCTCTATACGTAGTAGTAATACCTCAATGGTATTAATGTAAATCTATCGATGATCGATTAGAAAAAGTAAACACTTTCTTAATACGGCCAAGATAAGGTGCGAAAAAAAAACCAACTACGAAAACCCGTGACAATGTTGCAAAGTTAATCAATGTTCTATTAAACCGGAAACCGGCAAGCGGAGGCGGACGAACTCGAGTGAAAGTTGTTTCGCATACACCGGCAAAATCTGCGCAGCGTGGATATTAGGAAGTGGGCGTACTGAACATTTTTATTTTTATGAAAGAATTTATTAATTCAACAAATAAAAAATAATGTTAGCCTACATTTAATGGAAACCTTTTATCTATTTCTATACATATTAATAAAATTGGAGTATCTGTGCGTAATATTGAAATAATTATTTTTAACCGACTTCAAAAAGGAGGAGGTATTCAATTCGACTGTATGTTTTTTTATGTGTGTGATACTTCAGAAACTTTTTTCTGAGTGTACCGATTCTGATGATTTTTTATCTGAACGCCGATGCTTCTCACGTGGTCCCATATAAATTTGATCGAGATCTGACAACAGTTTTTGAGTTATCCTTAAATAATGCGTATTTAATTGACTTCGAATATATTGATGATATACTCATTATATTTATATTGAAGTCGGTTGTACAACATTTTTAATTTTACCACTTGTTAATATCTACTTTAATAAATAAATACAGCAACACAAATGATCTTATCGGAGATCAGTCTGTAATGATATAAAGGCAAAAGTATTATTAATGACATGCATCATGACGTCACAAAGTTCTCCACGGTCATTCTAACGATCAGAGAACACTCTAACTTTCTACTGAGAGCTAACGATTAACTATTATGTCGAAGAGATATTAGGTAGCAGCCATCGTTTCAAATTCGGAAGAGTTATATTTTTTAATTAGGAATGATATTACGTTAATTGATGATGATAAATTTGTCGGTACGATACATGTGCTACCTACTGTTAGTTATTTGTACATATTACGGCGGCCACATACGTAGCGGTCTTGAAAGAATTAACCATTCGTACAAGGTAGCGTATGAACGTATACCGTAACTGAGGGCTTGTGCAAGTATACCTAACGTCCATAGTGACCACACAGGATTCAAGTATGCCTGTGCAGTCTCAGTGCTGCGCCTGTGACAAACCGAAGAAGTCGTGTTGTGCAATAAGTATTCTGTGAAATATGCCACCGGCACCTACAAATGATGACGTTTTGGCTATTGTTGGTTCGGTGCTAGCTATTAACAAAAAATGTAAGAAGAAACGTTCCGTATGGTGTAAAGAATGGTTACTGAAAAGAAATAACTATTCCCACACCAACCTTTTAAATGAATTAAAATTCGCTCCGAAGGACTGGCACTATTATTTGCGTATGGATAAAAAAACATATTTGGAACTCTTGTCCTTAGTAACGCCATTGATACATAAGAATGACACGATAATGCGAGAGGTTAACAGCAACTTTCAGATTTCTGGCGACTGGTAGAAGTTACGAAGATCTTAAGTTTTCTACAATAATATCACCTCAAGCTCTAGGCATCATTATCCCTGAGATATGTAATGCTATTTATGAAGTACTTCGCACAAACTATTTGAAAGTAAGTAAAACCACAAGATTATAATCAAAAGTTTACTTTTATTAAAAAAAAGAGAGGCAGAATCATAATTAGGTACAGGCCTTAACTTTCACCGTTAAACTGAGAAAATAAAGTCACCTTGGACATGTTTTCGGTGGAAAGTGAACCAGATAATTGAAGGCTGGCATCAGAGATTTGCGGGTCTGGCCTAGTTGGTGCATGTGAACATATTTGATGAAAATATGTCGGTTGACTCTGCTGACATTGTAAATTGTAATTTATATTTCTGTTATTTGAGTAATGAGGTCCCGATAACGTCTGCTGCTGATGGATTTGTTGTGGTACCTGATTTAGAAGAGTTGAACTTGTGAGCTTGTGTGATATCGTTAAGTTACCAAATTGTGCCTCAAATAACGTATCAGTAATAATTTTTTCTGCAAACAATCTCTGTTCTCTGGGCAAGTCACGCAATTTTATTGCCACCATTTTTACAAAAACGTCGCAACCACTTCGGGTACAGCCGGACGTTTGAAATGATCACGCACCGACAGAAGAACATCTTCAGTTACGGAATCAGAATTTGAAGTCCTTTTTGTCGGCCTTGACCGGTTTCTTGAAGGTGTCGGTGGGTTTAGACTTTGGACGACTGCAGAAGACGTCGATGCTTGTGGACTTTGAACGGCGTCAGAAGAAGACTCAGTGTAGATTTTGAAATCTCCATCAGTTTCAACTTCCTTGTTTCTTCTGTCTGTAACAATAAGTTAAATATAAGTATTTTTTTTATAAAAAAACATAGGTACAAAGTTTAAGTACCTACTGGGACCTTGCTCACTTCACCTTTATTAAGAGTTATGTTCATATTTGTTTCAGTTTCCGAAAACAGATGAAGATTGGAAAGATATCGCAAAAACCTTTGAAGACAGATGGAATTTTCCTCACTGAATCGGCTCAATCGACGGGAAACACATAGATATTATTCCACCGAGTGAAAGCGATATTATTACAATTACAAAGGGCGGCATAGTATGGTTCTGTTAGCAATTGTGTTTGCCAAATATCGATTTATTATGTGCGATTTTGGCACAAATGGCAGAGTATCAGATGGCGGTGTTCTGCAAAATACAGTTTTCTACAAGAAACTTGAGAAAAATCTGTTAAAGATCCCGGTGGAAGAAAATTAACAACGGATTAAAATTATTTATATAAAACGTATTTTCGTAAGTGATGATGCGTTTCTCTTGAGGTGTGATATGATGAAGCCATATAGACAAGCGGACTTGAATTCACAAGATAGAGATCTTCAATTACCGTTCATCTCGAGCTAGGCGCATAGTTGGAAATGCGTTCGGTACATTGGCGGCTAGGTTCAGGATTTTCCACACACAAATTAATATAGAACCAAATCATATTGAATCTGTAGTAATGGCGAGTTGTGCTTTGCACAACTTTCTAATCGCTCATTCACGTAATCACTACTCGCCTTCTGAATGTTTTGACCAAGAAAATGCAGAAAATGGAACTATCTTGCCAGGGTTACATGCGGGTGACCACATGATCCCATTAAATAAAAGGGGATATGAGAATACTGCACTCAATGCAAAGAATATTCGGGAACAGTTTATGGATTACTTTAGTAATGAAGGTGGTGTTCCTTGGCAAAATAATTTCATAAATTAAAAAAAAAGATAAATAGTATTAAAACTGAATTTTATTTTGTTTAATGTTTTGTGAAGCCAGAACAAAAATCTTACCGTAGATTCCTCCGTAGATTCCTCAGTCAGGTTCGATTGCGATGTTCTTGGTGTCTCTTGGTCGCGGATAAAATGCAATTTATCGTAGTACCATAGACTCGGCACGTATACGTCGTTGATGCCTGTCCCTGATTTCTTCGAATTTTCGACTTTTTCTGTTCTTTTCGGTAATTTGTCCTGTAGGTATTCATTTTACTAATCACCGATTCCCGATTTGCGTCCGGCTCTATTTCTTTCAAAACATCTACCAATTGTTGGTATGCAGCGTTCTTTTTGTCGCGAATATGGTATTCTTTACTTTTTATTTGCCATAGACATGGTAACTTCCTGTATAAATCTATATAAATCTCTATTACTGCGGCGTGAATCGACAGACATTTTTCCGCGAAAATAAACCCACAAACCGACTGAAGCAATGGCGCGCGTGCGACTGCAGCGTTCCGAGTTCCGACACACACGCTCATGCACACCTGCACAAACTAGTTTGCGCAGGTATACAGATCGTAGTTTTGATCTGCCTACCAGACTTGTGCAAGTCAAGAAACTTGTGCAAGTCAGGAAACTTGTGCAAGTTTTGTCACACACACGCTCCAGTATACTTGCACAAGCCTTCAGTTCCAGCATACCGTACATGTATACCGCTACGTATGTGGCCGCCATTATGTCTATAATAACCTTCAAGCAAGTGCAAGCAATAAGTTGACAAAGTTTACCGCACTCTGATGAATGGTATGGCAGCGCATAAAATACGAACAAATAAATATAAATATTTATATATTATCTAATAATTGAATGCAAATTAATTTGACATTATTTCACCCTTTTAGAGTTTGAATTTTAATGGATTTTCGGAATGATACACATTAAACATATAAATTACAATTATATATGTCGCTTTTATTGTACGGTATAGAAAGATAAATAAAAGTAATATAAATAAAAATAAGTTGTGTTTTATATTCAGTGCAACACTACACACATTAATTAAAATTAGTTTTTAGGATGGTATCGTTTTTGATTTTAATTTACTTTATATTCTCGACATTTCAAAGATATCCTAGGCATCTTGGTTAGAGAAGTGCCGAGGAGTAATTTCAGAGGAAAATTTAAAAAAAAAGAACGCCATAAATTTCTCACCATTTTTCTAGTTGTAACAATCGATTTTGTTTGTAGTAAATTCAACCAGTTCCAACATATTATTATACTTGAAAATGTAATTTTGACAACAACTTACATCACTAGGCACAAGTGTGTCTCGCCCTTTACTCTATTAAACCGAACAATTACTACGAAATCGTTCTATAAAATTATACACTTTCTTAAATTCGTTACACAATTATTTTTTCCGTCCGCTCATTCATTCGTTCGTTTCCTTCTGAAAGCTTTTATTTTATTTTAATGTTGTACAATAAGGATGACAAACGAGCAAACACTCCACCTGACGGTAAGTCTGCTGCGGTCCATAGACATCTATCCTTGACTACGAATCAAAATGCAGATGCGTTATGATTACTTATATTAACGCGAACACTACACGTTGATTAAAACTACTTTAACGGATTTTATCACGTTTAATTTATTTCATTTTTAATACCCGCTTTCCATCAGTTAATAATAATTAAAAAATTGAAAGACTCACTACGGAATTAACATCGGGGGACGTCAGTCGTCTCAGTCCCCCGTGATCATGAAACTTCCGGTATTAAAAATCGAATAAATTAAACGGGATAAAATCCGTAAAAGTAGTTTTAATCAATGTGCAGATGCGTTGTCATTCCCGGGGACTAAGATGGAATACCTCGTTTCCATTAAAAAGATTCCCCGGTTCTCTACACTAAAACACACCAGCCAGCATTAATCAGCTATTTTACGCTGGTTTTCTGTGAGAACGTGGTCCTTTCCCGGTCGAGCCAGGAGTGCCCAGGATTGGCTCTATCTGAGAACCAATTGTTTGCTTTGCTTCTGTTTAACGGATCTAGCAATTTTACTCTTCCACATTCCGGATGCTGTTTGTGTAGATATGTCTGTGTGATTGTTATGCGAACAAAGTTTTAAATCGAGACTTAGATAACATTTGGCCTTCGGCGTAGGTTTTTGAGTGTGCGAAAAATAGGTGTCGGCACGGTGAGGTGTGAGGTACGGGGAAGAGAAACCATAGCAACGGGCGACGCACTACTCCCAAGTAGTTTCTCCCTGCGTCCCGTCGCCCGCGCACCTTCTTGTGTCGTCTTGTGTACTATCGATATCGAAAGTGTTAGCGACTACCTGTTATAAAATTTAAAGTTTTTGCGATTATTTTTGTACTTTTAAAAATATTGTTCTAGGTATAATATTTTCAAATAGTGTGTTAATATTTATTACTTTATAAATTATTTTGGGACTATTTCAAATAAAATATCCTTATAATCGAAAAATAGTTTAAACAGCAATTACAAATACAAAGATACAAAATATTTTATTTCTTTATATGCAGAATATTATTTAGAAGCAGTTAAAACCTAACGATGATATATAAATATATCGTTCCGTTTTCGTGGAGACTTTGATGTATAGTTATAATGTTGACCTTTGACTTTTTAAATATTAAAATGCCAAAGTCAAATTTTAATTTTTCTGCTGGATTGTACATGCGCAGTGGACTCTTTTAATTTCTTCTTTCGTGGCGCGACCTATACATAAATGTAAACAGCGTGATGTAGGATCTTCACTGCACGCCTCGGTCGTGTTCTTTGTATGCTTGAAATAGTTGTAAACTGATACCATTGTTATAATAAACAATACAATAGATGATGTTTTTTAAACATGACTATGTGCAATGCGGACATCTTGATTCTTGAAACGGAAGAAATGGCTTTAATTTTACCTTTTATTTTTAAAGTGCATAATACAAAATTTTTTATTTGACCAGCGATTCGCCCCGGCGTCGAGCGGGTCATTGGTCATTTCTGGATCTCGACAACAGCGTCACCTACAGGGTACAATTGTGAACCTAAACCATCCAGAGATCCACTTGTGGCAGCGCTGTCGTCGCCTCAAGCGAAACATACCGAAGCCTAAATCACGCTATCAACATTCCGAATCATAAACAATATATATAGAACATCTCCGAACTATCACACGGAGTGTTGGCCGCTCCCCGGGCAGAACACCTTGCCCGGCGGGAGATCTTATCTCCCCTTTTCACTCTACGGCCACACACTCAAATACACATTTTTTTTAATTGAAAATCCATCATCCACTATATAGTAGGTACACACAGGTAGAACCACGCTCTCACAGAATACCAGCGTAAAATAGCAGCTTAATGCTTAATAAGAACCGGAGGCCGTTTTTACTGGAAACGAGACATTCCATTTAGTTTTCCGTGGACACAACACATCTGTATTTTGATTCTTAATTAATGATAAACAGTGGTGGTGTGGCCGCTGAGAAACTTGGTTAGAGTCGGAGCCAAATGCTCCGCTGAGGTCGGGAAAGCTAGTGCTTCCAAATGCTCGCTTTTTCTGGCCCCATGGCCTCCGCGTACCGGATTCGAGGTAATCCGTTACGCAAGTGGAGTTAGTGGCCGCGTCTATAGGCCACATCATACCCTTACCATCAAGTGGACTATGTGCTCGTTTGTCACCCTTATTCTAAAAAAAATGTAATGATAATGATATTGAATATACATATAATATATTGACAGAGATTTTCGTTTCGAGCTTCGATCTATTATATACTATGTATATTATTGATCGAAGGTTTCGAGACAGATTTACAGAGTGTCTGTGTGTCTCCATTGTATGTATAATTGTCGTTATATATGAATGCCGCAAATATCAAAAGCGAACTCGTAGAGCCATAAACATCTGCTATCTAAATATTTAATTTCGATTATATCTCCACTTTATAGAAGTTATCACAGATTCAATATAGTAATATAATTATATGACCACTACACACTACACCGCTATTCCTGGAATCTATATATACATATAATATATCAATAAAACTGAAGTGTTTCTGTAAAAGCGAAAAATTGTCTTCTTTTAGATGGCCAAATACTCAAACGTTACTCAGTGTTATGATGTCGTTAAGTCTCGTGGTGTCGCAGTCACTTGGACTTCAAGTCACACAGCACAGCGTTTGAGTGTTGAGCGATTTGTTAGTAGGGGAGCTCGAGAGGCTAAATTGGGAGTTACTCGGGCGTCGTGGGGACCTTTTGGATTGTGAAGCTTAGATGCTAAAAACAAAAAGGTTATATGATGTATGCCTTTTCAGTGGCGGGGGGAGCGGCTATAGATTTTCATAAATGTAAAAAAAACAATCACAAAGAATACTCGAGCGCGTCAGATATTTACAGTGTATACGCTCCACGTATTTTTGAGAACAGAGAAATATTAACTATGACGGATTGAATGGTGGGGGTGGCCGTAGGATGGGGTTGAAAATGGGATAAAAAAATATTCGAGTGCGTCAGATATTCCGAAGATATGTTAAGTACACCCTAAAGAAGCTCCTATTCAAAAGACTGACGATTTGGGTTGGACAAGAATAAAACTCTTGGCAAATTTTTGAAAATGCAAAAAAAATCGTTACTATTTTACGCAGTTTCATATGGTGAGGGTAGAGCACCGACGTTTAAAAACACAACCGAAGCGCAATATTAATAAGTGCACGTGTAGTTTATTGCTATAAACTATTATCTTTGTGAAAACAAGCGATAATGACATAGATAGCGCGACAATATTATAAGATTTTTTTTTTTAAATGGCACTCGTGGAACAATCGATGCTTGCGTCGTCTCGATGATATGCTCTCGATAAAATAATCGATGACTAAGTATTTTAGTTTTTTCGCGTTCAAAATAGCAACAACAAAAATATTTGTCTGCTATTATCATTGTAACTGGCCGCTGTGGACTGACATCGAAACTGGCCATTTTGCTATAGACCTTTGATTCTATACTTGGAGACGACTATGGACGTTATAAGCCTCCATGGGTGCATAACACGCAGTATTGTAAACCCCGAAAAACCGTACAGTGACAGTGTAACCCACTACCCCATATCGTCCCGTGGGTGTCGTAAGGGCCGACAGAATGAAACTGATGCAGCATCTTACTGATAATAACTCAAAATAATAAAAAAATTACTGCTGCCAACCCACAAGCTAAGCGTGGCAGCTATGGCAACATTCTCTCAATGAGGCA